GTCATTTCGTTCTTCCTTTCCATAGTTGTTATCACTTTTTTCAGGGACTCTATCAACCGTTTCATTGGATATTCGTCTAACAGGCCATAGCCGTTGTTAAGCAGTTCTGCACAGCTAGCGAGATATTTCTCTTTATCCACGACCACGGTTGCGTTTCCTTTATCCGCTTTCATTATGGCGATGTTGCGATCTTTTTCCAGTTGTTCTACGGCAGTTTGTTCAGATTTACTTAAATTGGATCCAGCAATCTGAAACTTTTGAACTTCGACACCGGCGAAGTCTTGGATGGCTGTCTGGTGACTTATCAGATATGCTCGTTCAATCGATGTCGCAATTTCGAGAACTGGCAGTTTATCTGGAGCTGGGGCAAAATTCAACGGGGCTCCTCTGATGCAGCAGTGCAGGAAACTGGAGAAGTATTCAGCGACTTTGTCACACGAACATTGTCATCTTACGTTGCTTCTTTGTTGCCGTGACAACTGCTTAATACCCACCGGACTACGACTAAAAAGAACCATGTTCCAATCTCCATCGAAGCATCGTCTAGGAGATGATTTTGTGAAGAAGTTTATACGAAGACGGATCTCGTATCGTAGGTTCAGACTGTCAGACTTAATTTCAAATATGGAGATATTGCTGCAAGAGTTGTCGGTTTCTCTACGAGGTTCGGAATTCCAGGAGATAGTTCGCCATTGCCAACTCGTGATCGAGTTACGAAGATGCGAAAAATCTCAAATTTTGCCAAAGAAATTCGACACCCTGATGCTGGAAAAGTACTCGGAGTTCTGGAATTCACGTAGAAAATCGTTTTCGAATATGGTAATGAACTTGAGCAGCAAGAACTTGACAGAAGATCAAAAGTCCGTTCTCTCCAAAGGTTTGAATTTTGCCCCAGCTCCAGATGAGTCGAGGGGGCATCTGTCAAGCCATGGCTGCATGGTACTTGAGGAACTCCAACGCTACCTGAATCTCATCATGTTTCGTGCTAAAACAAAAGACTGCTCTCTTGTACATCGACTATGTTAACAGTAGTTTATCATAACTTTACGATTATTTATTTAATTTCGATTGCTTTTAGGCACATATGAAGTTGCACTTTAAAGATTACAAGCAGGTCAATCGCGCTTGCCAAATCATAAATAAATGCATTTGCTGCTGGATCCAAAATGTGAATGCGAAGCGAGGAATTTATCGATCACACATCAGTCCACGTTCAGCAGACGGATTCAACCAAACGCCAACCGCTGATAACAACGAGTTCGATACGCTGTCTGGCGTTAATCAAGTTTTAACCATCGATGGAAAGATCATGCAGCAGTCGTGTACTGAAGTGTGTCTCAATATTTTTTCCTTCGATAATCTTAGAGCTTTTCCTGAATGAAATATTTTTTAGACCTTAGTAAATACGCCGCTCATAAACATGATGGGTTCGGAATATTCTATGGCCGAGTTCTTTGCAGAAGGACGAAGGATCACATTCGAAGTACACTACTGCCAATTGTGTAACCTGAGAATCACGACGCGTTTCGACATGCAAGAACACTGTGAAATGATGCATCGTCTGCATAGCAATTCACTGCATGATGAAGGTGGTTCTCAGGACATCTTTCTCTGGTGCGAAGTTTGTCTCAGACCATTCTTCCATCCACAGTCGTTCAATGAGCATTTAGCGTTCCATCGCCTCATTCATAATAAGATTTATACTCGCGAACTAATTCTGGAAGAACCGTCTGCTATTGAAAATGAGCTTGCTTGATGCAAAAAGGTACAGGGTATACTAATTTATTGTAGGGAACTATGCTGTCTGTGCCATGTTATATGTGTCGACTTGTCTTTAAATGGCTAAATATAAGTGCGTTTGATTTATTCATGTAAGTTTTGTACAGACTGAGGATATCTCAGTATTCAGTTGTTGCTTATCGTTTTTTTCACAGTAAAGAGCTGCAGAAGAAGAATAAGAGTTACTATTGCAACCTTGTTCATATAGATAGAATACTCATAATGCACGTAGAGCAGCGACGATTCCGCATCTAAAACAGAGCTCATCATCAAAAATTCGGCGTGCTGCGTTAAAGTGGTATTCTGGCGTGCAAAGCTGTTAGTCAAATGCACTATTGCCCATCCTTCTATCTGATCCACTTCGCTGGTACGAGGCAGATATGACATCAGTATATACAAAACGGTTTTCCTAGAAAAGTTTCTGATTTCGATTAAAAAAATTGAGTAGAGACTTTGAGTTAGAAATAGTCTACAGGATCTTTCTAATATCATAGTACTGTCCTCGATGTGCAACACCACCAAGATTTATTTCCTTGTTACCCGTCGAAAATTTTGTTTGATAGGCAGCAGGGATTAAGACCAACGTCTCCGAAGGTCCCACACTATCAGAATGCTGACCTTTGCGTGTGAAGTAGAGGAATTTTCACTGCGAACAACTGGTTGACGAGGGTAAAAATTCCAGCCGAAATCTACTCTTATAGCACTCTACTGTTGGACTACACGTATAATTCATAAACTTTTCAATTATTTTTACATTACCAAGGATATCAGATTTTTTTGTGTTTAACATTCAAAAACAAGTTTGATTCCGGTGAATTTCAAAATATGGAGCATAAATGAATAAATCTGCACGTTCGAAGCTTGGTCTCATCCAAGGTAAAGAGCTGTGATTTTCGACCGACCTCTCCTAAGCCTGATGGAGAGCCACCTTTAGTGTTGGTTTCCTCATTTTGTACTTGTTTAGTTGTTATATCAAGGTTTTAACACCTTATCATGTGCCTAGAGTTCACTTAAACAAACTGACCTACTGACTTTCTACCTGTTTGACTGTTGTACATTAATCCATTAAGTAAACGGTCGCCTCATTTCCATATCGGTGACGTCAAGTTTCTTAGGACGGTTAAGAAAAGTCCTATAAATAATACGAACCCTCGCTGCATGGGTATGAATTCCAGGAAACAATCGCTTAGTAAAATGCCTTCTCATTTTCTTTAATATTGATGAATTTAGACTATGCAACGGAATCTCGCAAAATGTAACATATCTAAATTTTTGTTATGTAACATCGTCACTTAATGTAACATATACATCAGAAATGAAATCATACAGATGAGTCACTGATGTTCAAAATAGAAAGTTTTTCGTTCATGGAAGGTATTTAATAAAACCAACCAACTGATCAGGTCGCAACGTTGGCTGTAGAAATGACGCTGTTGGTTTTGACCCGATGTAGCTCCTCTGCTGCTTCCATTCGCTTGGACAACATGTCGACGTCGCGCTGGAAGACGACCAGTGCCCAACCGATGACCAGGAAAACGGCTCGCAGGACAGCCAAGAGCTGCCAAAGAAAAGGCGCGATGTCAGTTTGTGGCAAATTCTAAAGCAATTTTGGCACTGGTGTCAGATGTTCAACAAAAATTAAGTAAGTATTCTTTTTAAACATTAAATGATGCCTTGCTTTGCACGATTACGAATAAACACAATTTCAGATTTTATGGTTAGCCATTAAATCGTTCTGGGCAGTTTCTTGTTGGCTTCTTAAAATACATGCTTTCG